TTGATCTTCTTGCAGTCCATGGGACTCTCAAGAGTCTCCTCCAGCACCATAATTCAAAAGCATCAATTCTTCAGTGATCAGCCTTCTTTATGGTCCAGCTCTCACATCCATACCTCAATACTGGGAAAACCATAGCTTTAACTATACGGACCTTTGTCGGCAAGGTGATGTCGCTGCAACAGGGAAACTCAAAACGGAAGACACATGGCATTTTCGGCTTCTGAAAATCTTTTGAAAACCACAGCAGTTCTTCTGGGTTTTTGGTGTTCGGGAAACAAAACATACAACAATGGAGGCATTCGGGAACTGAGGTATGACTGTACAGGGGTATGCGGTATGCAGTTCCCCCCAAAAATAATCCCAAGTGAAAGCACACACACAAACATACATACATATACATTTATTAAACACACATCTCCTGAATTCTTCACTTCTCTCTCCAAACATCCCCCACTCTATACAGTTACACCTCCCTGACAACTCATACAGTGGTTGCCACAAGCTGCAATTAAGTAAGGTTACTCAGCTTTATTATATCTAATTATGAAGGCAAAAATATCTGTGCAAGCAGCTAGGCCCCTACTAGCTGGCTGAAGGGTAAGAGAACATGAAGGCAGAACTGGTTGAGTTTTTTTAGGTGAGAGGGTTTTTTTTAGGAAAATTAAAAAGATAAATGAAGACACATCTCATCATCTACAAGTCTGTCTCCTTTTTTCATCCCACAAAAAAGAAATAATGACTCATCCGATTATGATCTTGGCACCTCTGGTTTCTGCAATAAAAAACTACCTGGTATTCCAAGATCGTTTCCTTACTTCGTTCTTTCCCTTCTCCTCAACAGCCTTATCTGAACTAGCCTTTCCCCATCTTTTCTTATTGCAAATTTAGCCTACACATGGCACAAAGAGACATGGGAAAAGCTTTGCAGTTTTTCAACTTGCTGGGTAAGCAAAACCCTTGTATGGACGCCATGGGCTTCCAGAATTCCAATCTTGGTGCCCTCATCCAGCATGAGGAATCCAATGCTCCTTTCTGAATCTCTTCCAACTCTGCAATATCCCTTTTGAGATGAAGTGACCAGAACTTTTGCATTTGAAGGTTCAACTTTTGTTGGCTGGTTTATACATGGCTGCTCTCACACACGGTGAAGGCCTGTGTCTTCGAAGGCTAATACCAGCTTAGATCATCTCTAGTAGGCATGTCCTTTATAAAGCATCTCTACAGCATGTAGAAAATGTTAGCTTCTTTGCATTTTGTATCTGCATCTTCCCTAAAAACAAACCATGCTTCTTCCCATTCAGAAGCATTGTTTCGTTCATACGTGAATGAATGCACTAGCTAATTAATCAATTAAAAGTCAATATAAACTGGGGGGGGGGATCTTGAATTGGGTGACAATGGTACCCAACTTTTTTTAGCCATGCCCCACATAAGCATCTCTAAAATCCTGATCCCCCCCCATGACATATAATTCTTATTATTAAAAAAGTGAACTCCTATTCAGGTGGAGGAAGCCTAAAAGGCCATTCACTATTAATAATTCATTCTCGCATTGCCCCACTTAAAAATCAAATTTCAAGGGAAGTGTTTTTTATTGCAAGTGCATTATTTTATTGCAAGTGCATTTTCCGTTCTCATTTTGTATCTTTATATTTTGAACCACCCTGTCATTTTTCGGATGAAGGGTGGTATACACATTATCATCAATCAATCAATCAATCAATACTTTTACAAACCTCAGAGTTATCGTTTGGGGGTGACGTTGCATTGGCAGCCAAGACCACTATTAGTATATACATATATGACAGAACTCCAGTAGTTTCTAATCAAAGCCAGATCCCATGTTGTCGAGATTGTTCTTGAAAACCATAACAGCTAGGAAGTCACTTTAAAAACAAAAAGGCTTGCTTTTTAAGAATTCCATAGGAACAACTGAAATGTAGGTTAAGGTCATAAGGAAGCTGTCCATCAGCTCAGCATCGTCCGGCTCATTCAGACTACCTTTTGTGATGCATTTCTAAGCACAGGCGCATTCTCTAAAACTCTGAATCTGAGCATTTTTCTTTTCTTTTTGTCACGGTGCTTTCCCCACAAAAACCCGCTCTTTACCTCTGAAAACAGTTCTGCAGCAAACCCAAATTGCAGTTTGTTCTGATTCAAGGTTGATGAGCTGCTTTTCCTGGGGAAAGCAGCAAGGCCAAAAATAAATAAAAATAAATGCTCGGATACCGACCGGGAAAGTGCCATCGGAAGTACCATCCCTCCCCTCAACCTAATAGACATTTCCGGTGTCTATCGCCAGTCCTTTTCCTTCGTCTCAAACACACAGCAAAGTCCTCACTCTTAAATCACCACGTTTCCCAGTGTTTGATCTATCCTGCTGGACTCTGGTTGTAAAAAAATGCCAGGTAGGCCCCCCCATCAAGCATTTCAGCGCAACTCTTTCCCTGCCCCCCGAACCACCACCTAGGAATCCTGATCTCATTTCACCTCCCAGATTCCAAGGCCACTGCAGCAAGACAGAAGCTTATTCTGCATCCCTGCTGAGCAGGGTGCTCTGAAAGTCGTGTTCCACCACCTACTGGATTCCACTGAAAACTGCAAGGAGACCCAAGGGTTTCTGCAATCCCATTGCTTCTGTGTGAAAGTATAAGCAAGTGGTGTAGATCTGCATATTCAGTGTGCCCAGACCAATAGGTATATAGTGGTACCTCGGGGTAAGTACTTAATTCGTTCCGGAGGTCTGTACTTAAGCTGAAACTGTTCTTAACCTGAAGCACCACTTTAGCTAATGGGGCCTCCTGCGGCCGCCGCGCCGCCACACAATTTCTGTTCTCATCCTGAAGCAAAGTTCTTAACCTGAAGCACTATTTCTGGGTTAGTGGAGTCTGTAACCTGAAGCGTATGTAACCCGAGGTACCACTGTACAGTCATACCTCGGGTTACAGACGCTTCAGGTTGCGTTTTTTCAGGTTACGGACGCGCCGAAACCCGGAAGTACCGGAACGAGTTACTTCTGGGTTTCGGCGGTCGTGCATGCGCAGAAGCGCTAAATCATGCTTTGCGCATGTGCAGAAGCGCCGAACCACAACCCACACGTGCGCAGAAGCAGTGCTGCAGGTTGCGAACGTGCCTCCCGCACAGATCACATTCACAACCCGCAGCGTCCACCGTACAAATTATTTTTGGGGGGGGGGGGAGCAGTTAGTCTAGGCAACTCTATGAACGACAATGGACCTCTTCCCAGACTCTTGGCTAAGGCACTCCTCTTTCCAAGCTACTCCCCACTCCAGTTCCCTTGCCCCAGTGCATTATTTCTATGTGTCGCACGGCCTGAAAGAGAACTTGCAGCATTATGAAGATGCCTCTGCCAGGACCAAAGGGGCTCCACCTTTCTACCCAGGTGAGAAATGGGTGAGTGGCAGCTTGGGCACCTCCTTCCGGCAACACCTGCAGCCAAGCTGGTGCCAAACGTATTGCTCTGTTTTCCTTTGGACCACATCAGTGAGGCTGACAGGAGGGGACTTGTCATCTGGGCATCCCAGAACCTCCAGACACCCTGCCCAGGCTTGCACCCTGGGGAGGTCACTTCACGTTGATAATAAATAATAATAATAATTTATTATTTATACCCCGCCCATCTGGCTGGGTTTCCCCAGCCACTCTGTGTGGCTTCCAACACAATATTAAAATACAGTAATGCCTCAAACATTAAAAGCTTCCCTAAAGACGCCTTCAGGTGTCTTCTAAAAGTCTGGTAGTTGTTGTTCTCTTTGGCATCTGGTGGGAGGGTGTTCCACAGGGCGGGCACCACTACCGAGAAAGCCCTCTGCCTGGTTCCCTGTAACTTGGCTTCCCGCAGTGAAGGAACCGCCAGAAGGCCCTCGGTGCTGGACCTCAGTGTCCGGGTAGAATGATGGGGGTGGAGACGCTCCTTCAGATATACTGGACCGAGGCCGTTTAGGGCTTTAAAGGTCAGCACCACCAGTTCTGGCTTCACCCCCCGGAGGCACACTCCATTGCCTCTCAAGACAGACAGATGGCAACAGCAACTCCCCTCACCTCAGGCAGCAGGGCGATGGTGAGGGATGAAGGGCCTTGTAGTTAAACATATGTGGGTATGGGGAGGCAGATTCTTCTTCCCCGAGTTACAGCAATCTCTTTTTCCCCATTGTGCGGCAATGTATTTACAGGAGTTGCCAACATGGTGTCCTTCAGTTGCTGTTGGACTGCAACTCCTATTAGTGCCAGCATGTGGGCAATGGACAGGGATGGTGTAAGTTGTAGTCCAGCAGTATCAGGATATTATTATTATTATTAATTATTATTATTATTATTCCCCGCCCATTCGGTTGGGTCGCCCCATAATAAAACATCACATATTTACAACTTCTAAAAGCACCACAACCCCAGCACTTATATCCCAGCACAGACACACCCTTTTAGATCTGTTTCATAATCAGAGGATAAAAGATATTGGGAGCATCTCAGAGAAGCAAAGTCCGCCTTACTCAAACAGCAACCTGATGCCTGAGACCACAACCAAAGAGCTGTCAAGGTTGCTGACTTTCCTCTTGCTATTTTCCACTACAGTGGTACCCTCTACTTATGCGCACCTCTGGTTATGTATCCTTCGGGTTACGCACACGGCAAACCCAGAAGTATTTTTCCGGGTTTCGTCACGCGCACATGCGCAGAAGCGCTCTACTGCACCGCACGCATGCGCAGAACAGGCACCTCCGGTTGCGAAAACCTTGGGATCCGACCGGAGCTCCGGAACGGATCCCGTCCGCAACCAGAGGTACCACTGCACTGTATTGCAGAGCTGATCTCTCTATCTCTCGTGCCTTTTCCACCTGCTTTAGTTAGCACCAATACTCTCTTCTTCAATTCTCTCAAAACTCTGAAATCATATTATTGTAGAGACACATATAATTGTAGAATTGGAAGGGAGCCCGAGGATCATCTGAGTCCAACCCCCCTGCGACGCAGGAATATGCAGCCGCCCCATATGGGAATCGAACCTGCAACCTTGGCATTATCAGCACCACGCTCTAATAACCAACTGAGCTATGGCAAAACAAACGTTGGAAGGAAACCATTGGGCTTATGCAGGGCATGCATCCAATTTGTGTGGGATGTTGTCTGGGTTTGATGGACTTCGCCATCACGTTATGTGTGCCTATAAACCCATCCAACTCTTGGTGGTGGATGGGCACTTAATTGGCAGAGTTGGGCAAGCTGTTCTTCAAAGAAGCTTGTCCACTATCCTCCCGCTACAAAAGCTCTTACAAGCTTCCAAGAAATCAAGGGTTCCCCAGAACTGTTCAGCATTAGGCATGTCCTATTGCAGCAGAATTTATTGCACGGTCCTTCCAGAGAAACTGAGGTGTCAAAGACTTTACAAGACAACGAAAGCATGACACAGATAGGGACAATGAAAAGCAAAGCAAAGAATTGGGACTCTCTCTCTCAAGTGTGTAAAAGTCAGCTCAGGTTAAGGGAGTAACTGCTAAATTAATCATTGGCGGATGATATGGAAGGTACCTTCGTATCTCAGTCCTAGACATGCCAATGCAATAGCAGATTTCACAGGGTTCAATAGGATTTGCTTCCTGGTAAGCATTTAATAATACTAATTTTATTATTCTTGTTGGGTTGCCCCAGAAACTCTGGGTGGCTTCCAACACATATAAAAATGTAATGAAACATTGCACATTAAAAACTTCTCTATACAGGGCTGCTTTCATATGTCTTCTAACACTGAAACCTGATATCATGTCTTGCATCAAATGTCAGGGTCCTGTCAGCGTGAAAATGTTCGCTTGTGCAAAGGGATTTTCCCTGTGTACACTCCGCGCCCTACCCAAATCTCTTCTGGAGGGTTGGATAAACCCCCAGAAAAGATTTCATGGGGTGCATTGGCGGAGGGGAGAGGGGAGAAGTCCAATTCCACAAGCATAAGTCCTTGCGCTGACAAAATGCTTACATAGTGCTATGTTAGATATACCATATTTTTTGCTCTATAAGACTCACTTTTCCCCTCCTAAAAAGTAAGGGGAAATGTGTGTGCGTCTTATGGAGCGAATGCAGGCTGCGCAGCTATTACAGAAGCCAGAACAGAAAGAGGGATTGCTGCTTTCACTGCGCAGCGATCCCTCTTGCTGTTCTGGCTTCTGAGATTCAGAATATTTTTTTTCTTGTTTTCCTCCTCCAAAAACTAGGTGCGTCTTGTGGTCTGGTGCGTCTTACACAGCGAAAAATATGGTAAGTCCCCACTTCTCTCATTTGGACAGTGTTTTTTTTTAAAAAAAAAATTGAGTTGGGGGGCACAGAGTTCTCAACAATTTCTGGACCATCTAAGACCTTGTAAAGGCAATGAGTTAGGTGCACCAGGGGACTTGCTCACAACTCCTATTATTAGCATTAATAATAATAATAATAATAATAATAATAATGACATTTTACATGGTATACTACAGACTGCTTTTGAAACACTTGCTGAGTTACGAAAGCAGTTTGTCCCCTGGGAGAGGAGGGCTGATATTCTAGAAATACAAATACATAGCTTCAGAGGACATATGGAATTAACCATGTGGTTCTTTGGATACTGTCCTACAAATTTAAACGGTGTCAGAAGCAGGCTGGATTCCAGGGCGAGAACTAATGCAGAAACAACTACACATTCCAGGGTGGGTATTCCATATGGCTTGTCTCAGCTTTATTTTCTAAACGAAAAGCAGTCAGGAATAATATGCCCTTTTATTTAAAAAGGAGAAGAAGAAGAAAAAAAAAAGAGAAGGCTTTCACCAGCCAAAATGTTTGTCCCATAACAAGAGGCTATGTTGACACAGAAGGGCTATGTCAAAACACATCCCTGGAACAAAAGGTTAAAGTCCTCTGCCATATTTCATTTCCATAGGGATGTAAGTCATAATACAACAAAGCGGTGACTCAGAACCTAACACAAATCCGCTAACACGCATTAGTCATGCGACCAAACAATGCACCGAGAGTTTACAGAAAACATGTTTGAGAAGGAAAAATAAAAATAAAACTCAGCAGGCCCAGCCAATGGGCTGCCGAAATCACATGGAAATGCATGTCTCCACTCTCCACAGGTATCAATACTGGCACTTCCTCGCTTTCCAAATGTATGTGGTGTCGCCCTAGCCCAGGCTTCCTCCAAAACAGTTGCTTTCAAAATGTTCCAATGAGCTGTGACATTCCTTGTGGGAGAAATCAATAATGGCAGCCATTATTCTCCCTGAAAGAACTTCCCCAGGCCTGCACAAAGCATGCTCGGGCAACTTTTGCGGCCTAACAGGGTACCAGACCTTATTTTAACAATTTATTTTCCTGATACCTCACAATCTGTGTTGGGCAGCTGCATTGGGGAAACTAGCCGCCATCTTAATTTCCCACAGTGGCCTTGAATATTGTTCTGGGGAGGTGTAAAGGTAAAGAGGGACCCCTGACCATTAGGTCCAGTTGTGGCCGACTCTGCGGTTGCGGTGCTCATCTCGCTTTATTGGCCAAGGGAGCCGGCATACAGCTTCCGAGTCATGTGGCCAGCATGAGTAAGCCGCTTCTGGCGAACCAGAGCAGCTTCCCACTGGAGCGGTACCTATTTATCTACTTGTACTTTGACGTGCTTTCGAACTGCTAGGTTGGCAGGAGCAGGGACCGAGCAACGGGAGCTCACCCCGTCGCGGGGATTCGAACCGCCGACCTTCTGATCAGCAAGCCCTAGGCTCTGTGGTTTAACCCACAGCGCCACCCGCGTCCCAGGGGAGGTGTAGGAAACTAAAATAGCAGCACCCGCTGGGAAACCCAGAGCTGCCATTTTTAATTTCCCACAATGCCCCCAAGCGTAGGGTCATGGGAAACTAAGGCAGCTCCTAGACTCAGCTGCCCGGGGATTGTGGGAGTGCCACTGCTGTTGCCCACTTTTGTTGCCACCAAAATGGGACCAGCAACCTAGAAGGGGGTCCACCAGCAAGAATTCCGGCAGGAGAGCCATCAGAGGTGGGAATGGCCTCGAGTTTTCCTGCAACTACCAATCTTCCCCAGTAATTCAAGAGAAGAGGACTGTGTGTATTCTGAGGTGTACCCGTGGATCATATGGGGCAATGGTAATGGCCAACAGGCCTGTCCATCATCCCACATGAACTAATGGAGCCACTGGAATCTTTTACAATGTGGGGAGAGTTGCTTTAGGAAGAAAAGGTAGACGCCACTCTCAGGAGAAGTTTTCTACTAGCTCAACATAAGTGCATGTGGAAAGCCACAGCAGAAGATCTCAACGCAGGGTGCAACTGACCTCCACACACAGGGCAAAGGAAGGAGTATCTCCTTTGAGTTTGGCAGCCTTATTTAAGAAACCTGAAGTGAGATGTTCCGCGGCATACATGTTCTCATACATGCTCATGCATCAACTTCTGCCCATGTGCTTGGTTGGGTCAGCCTGTGCAAAACCGGCAGGTAGACGCTCTTGCCACTTGCGGAGAGAAGATTTAGAGGTCAGTTCTACAGTTTGCAGATTTTGCTACTACCAATCTACAGTCCTTTAGCTGCAAGCAGTCTATACAGCTCACTACCCTACCTGGCTTTGCCATACATCTCCTCGCTGATCCACATATTTGCCTTCCTGCACATGGCTTCCCTTTATGGTCCCATTCCCCCTTCCCAGTCTGCAGACACCAGTTCCCACTCAGCTTTCATGGAGTCCCAGAGCCAGCAGCTCAGGGAAGTGAAATATCAGCATCGTTGTGCACCTGGCATCATGACCCTGGGGTCAGATTCCTGTTCTTTGAGGGATGAGATTGAGGACTTTCTGAGTTGGACATGTAACGGCATGTAGGGTTAAGCCCCAAGAGCATGTCCATAAGATTGGCCCATTGCAGCAGGGCCCCTCCAGCCCGAGGAGGTGGCACTGCCACCCTCTAAGCCTGAGGACTCGGTTACAGAAGTCCCAATCGAACCAGTCTCCCACACTCTACCGGAGTAAAAAACTACTGGAGGATTGGCCCCACAGCAAGAAGAAAGCGAACGCATGGTAACAACAATGGTCGAAGGAGAGTGGTTGCACACAAGGAGGAGAGACACTTAAAATGTCTTATTTTTTATTTTTAATGCAAAATTACAACAAAAATTACAAACATTGAATCCAAAATAAAACAGTACAAACAAGGGGAAAAAACACAAGAGAAAAAAGAACACAAAAAACCCCATACACCTACAAATAAAATCGTATCATCATTCTAATCATTACGTACATATACAAATATTGACTTCCTTCCTTTGTTCTAAGACCTCGAAATTTTTACTCTTCCTAAATTGTTGTGTCTAATGCAGATTACCTCTATCTTTATACTTTTTGCACCATTTTTCTCTTTCTTTAACCCTGCAAAGCTTCATTCGTTACATGTTGTCCTCTTAGTCATTTTCATACTCTTTCACAGTGGCCGAAGCTCTTAACCCTGAAAGCCACGAGCTAAAATAACTCTACATGACAAGCAGCGCGAGAGACCACAACTGAGCTTCCCCCTACGCACAGCAGCTCAGCTCAGAGGCACATCACAGAGCACCTCACACTTACTGTATGAAAGCTCCCAGGAAGCCATTAGGAAGGCTGTCAAGCTGGGGAAAAACACCAGCAATTCTGCACTCGGACAATCCAAATTCTGCATCAAGAAAAAGATGGACTATGCAACCTGTATACATTAGGGGCAGGTAGAAAAAAAGGTTAGAAAGATCACTAGGAGACCACCGCCGTAGATCTGCAAGGATTTCCAACTCCCACTTTCTGCTGAACAGCAACAGCTCCCCCTGCTTCACTAAATTAGACAGCTAGGATCCCTAGCTGCACATTACCTTTGGAACATTCCAGTGTGTGCATCACAGAGCATAGCAGGAAATTGGCCCTGCATCTTGGGCCACCATATCGCACCCGACTATAATTAGTGGACCTTGGAGAGATAATAAAATGGGGGGGAGAGACCCCAAATACTGCTGGACTCCAACTCTCATCAGACCCAGCCAGCATAGGCAATGACAGAGATGATGGAAACTGTA